TAGCCAGGCACCATCAGCCTTCTTCACTACACTTACTTATGCACACATTCATCTTCAGCAATCATGTCGGGAAGGTAGATATCATGAAATGACCATTTAGCTGAGCAAGGTGTTCTTGTATTAGGGTGGAAATTTAAGTTCTAATACTGTTCCCTCCCTCTGTCTTGGACTTAATTATTTATAATCCTTGTAGCACACAGGCTGGTGTGCTTCCTCCATGTGAACTTAGCTGTCACCTCACTTAGATGGCTACTTGATTGAAGACAAGTCTTTATGGCCCCGTTTGTGATAGCTGGGTACCATAGGATTTCTTTATCACATTTTTATATAGCACCCAGATCTTTAGTGATCTCCTCGTGAGGGCACACATGGAGTAGGGCTACACTAGAAGAACTAATTTTTCTTAACCTGGGACCATGATTAAGAAGAACAAACACTTATTTTTTTAAAATTTATACTCATCTTGCCACTATTTCAATGGAGATTGTTGAGAAAAATACACTCTTCTTCCCCAAAAGATACATGAAACTTGAACTCTTATGAGAGTGGATGGATGAGAAAGCATGGGGAAGGGACGAGCAGCATGCAAATGCATCATTAGGGTTGCATCAGTGGCCCTGGAGTTACTCTCATCCATAATGACCCCACGTGCAACGGCGTAGATTATACTAAAGATGATTTTAAATAACTAATTGTTTAGAAATAGATTGTCTAATTCCACCCTGCCCCCAATGAACCATGAGTGAACTTGAATCTTCAATCTTTTTGCTAGCAGCCAAGAATGGTAACCATTTGAACTATCAAATGACTCCAAAGTAGCATGTAGCCTCATGTTGCCCCCGTAGTTTGTGAGTATGAGCCACTAGCCTTGAGGTTAGCAGCCCAAGGTTCAACTCATTGAGCAAGGATGCCTCTCTACTGCTGCATAGCATTCTTTTATTTTCAGTGTGATTTATTATGCACTGTTGCCTTTTAAATTCCTTATCAATTACCCTATGAAGTAAATCCTCTTTAACAGATAAAATAACTGAGGTCCAGAAGGATAAAAGGTTTGCTTTGTTTGTGAAACTAATCATTGGGAGAGTTTACATTCATAGTCTAGCCTTCTGCATTCAAACCCTTCCGGGATAGTGGAAACAATTAACATGCTCAACTGTTAACAGAAAGGCCAGGGGTTGGAGTCCTCTCAAAGACTCTTCTAAAGAAAGGCCTGCTGGGCCTACTTCTGGAAAATGACTGATGAAAATCTTTTCAAGCACAGTTCTACTTTTAAATATGTGGGTTAACCATTATTCTCTATGGACGCCATAGCAATTGACTTAATGAGCCACTAAGGATCCGTATAGCACGGGGATTCCAAGCTCCTAGTTTATAGTACAATCATGTCTGGGATACCAAGAGGAGAAAGGATTAAGTAGCAGGCTAATGGTTTTCAAGGGTATGAAAATTTTTACAAAGTAATCATTTCTCTCTGTTTTTCTGAAACTTGGATCCTGGCAGAGACCAAAGGGTTCAAAGGACAATGGGTTTTCTTGTCACAGCGGAGAGTGCCTGCAGAGCGACTAGACCTTGGTGCTTTGCCCAGGGCCTTGCTTTCCCTGCTTTCTTGTGGCCTGCTCCTGGGTGAGCTACTTTCCCCTAGCCTCTGCCGGAGATTTCACAAAAACCTTTTGTATTCCGCATGATTTCCAGACACAGAGAGGGCCAGAGAACGCCTCAAGTTTCTAACTGCTCCTCACATGCAATATGCAAATTGCAGAGAAAATGTGGAGACCACACATCAGGTATCCTCAAATTACAGCCCACGGGCACATGCGGCCCGCCAAGGACATTTATTTGGCCCGCAGATTTTTTTACTTCAAAATAAGATATGTGCAGTGTGCATCTGGGCCCCTGTTTAAAAGAGGGTCTGGCCCCCTGTTTGAAAAGTTTGAGGACCCCTGCCACACATTCCCAGGAGATTTAGCTACCTGTCCCAGCAAGTCAACTAAGGTTGGAATTGAAAGTTCAAGTCTATGATAAAATCGTTTAATACACAAAACCACAAGACTGGCGTTCCAGGTCAAGATATTTGAAGGTGCCATTAGTATCAAATGGTATCCAATTATGTCTTCTAGTTCCATGTCTCAAATGCCTTTTTAAAATATTCCCTGTAGCAAAGCTATCAAGAACAAAAACTAGAACATTACCAACATGGTTTTATGTCAAGTTAGTTTGTCCCTCCGACTGAAGATGCTGCAATTGGCCAGGTTTTTCATATTCTTCATGCCAAGTAAAGAATTATTTGAACCCAAACACACAAAATAAGATAAAAATGATACCTGCACTTTGTCTCTAACCGAAGCCTCAAGGGACAGCTTTCTTTCATATTGATTGAAATATTTCTCCTTCTCTATTAAGAAGTCATCCTGGACCTTTTGATACTCTTGAGCTAAGCGTAAATTTTCTTCTAGTGAGTCCAGCTGAGTTTTCTACAAAATAAACATGTAAACACATACAGATGCATTAATTTAAATCACTTGGGCTTGTGTGAGGATTATCTAAAAAACGTTCCGTTACAGATTACAACCAGAGCAACCGCAACGTTTCCCGCTATATCATTACCTTGGCGGTGGTTGTTGTTAACTTGTTTGCCTGTTAATTTTGACATGTGAATCCTGCGGCTCTGTCTGACAAAGCAGACATTGCCCCAGGTGTCCAGCGACAATGTCCTGGGAAGTCCCCTGTCCTGGGAGCCTCCGCGGAGCATCCGGGAGTCGCCCTCCAGTTACATGCCCGTGCCTCTCACAGAAGCAGAATTAACCCTTCGTGTGACTAAAATACATGAATCACAAATAATAGCTCTGGGGGAATCTGAATGTTGAGCCCTCTGCTCTTTGACTTTTCCTCTTTCTCCATATTTGAGGTGTCTTCCCGTGAATGGCGCTTCTCTGAAGCTGCCATTTGAATGTCCACCTGAGTCTGAGTTGGGAGGAAAGGCAGCTAAGGACTTCATATAGCTCGTGTGTGTCACATGTGCAGTCAAGGAGCCCTGGTGGCATCCTGTGCTATGAACTGAACTGCCAACCACAAAATTGGCCTTACTAAAACTTCCGCTGCGCTGAGGGGGAAAGATGAAGCTGTCTGCTCCTGCATAGGTGTAAAGTCTCCGAAACTCAAAGGAGCAGTTCTACTCGGTCCGATGGGATCATTATGAGTCAGAATGGCCGTGGCAGTGAATTGCTTGTTGGTCTTTTTGTATGCTACACGTTACCCCAGTCCTGCCTCCCACTTCGGGCTAGCCTGGAGCATGTTCACTGGTACAGATAAGAGTTCACGACACACTGGGTCCGGGTCAGATAAAACCCTCGGGAATAGAAATGAGAGTAGCAATGTTAGGAAGGTAGGAGGAAGGTGGGGAGAGGAGGGGAGGAGGGGGGGAACCAATCACAGTGATCTATACATACATAACACCCCCCTCCCCCCCAGGGGAACAAACAACAGAAAGGTGGTTGATGGGTGGCAGCGGTCAGTGTAAGATATGAAAGTAACAATAACTTATAATTTATCAATCAGTCACGAGGATAAGAGGGGGGAGGGAGGGGGAAAAGAAGAGCTGATAAGGGCACAAATAGAAAGCAAATGTTTATAAAATAATGATGGCAACATATGTACAAGTATGCTTGATAAAACTGATGTATGGATTGTTATAAAAGCTGTAAGAGCCCCCAATAAAATGATCTGTTTTTAAAAGAAAGAAAAGAAAATAGCTTTGCAACCACACCCATTGACAAACTGGGAGCCAACTCTAATTTCACATTAGAAGTATGACATCCATTCAGTTGCTATTGTTTCTACTTCCAGCAGAGACATTTTTTTCTATTTCTTGCTTCAAGAAATATGAAATCTATAAACAGACTTTAATATTTTCAAACCAGTTAATCTAGTAATTCCACGTGTGGGAATTTATCCTAAGTGATATGCTTTATTCATTACAAAATTATATATAATAGCAAAAGATTTCAACCCTGCAAATGCAATATCTGTTTGCAATTGAGTAACTAGATGATAAAATAACCATCGTGAAGCAATTAAAAATGCTTCCTATTTCTATGAAAATTACCATAACGTCAAAATTTTAGAATAAGTTGTTAAAATAGTATTAAAGATTTGATATTAAAAAATTGATTGTGGTATGAGAATGTAAATAGAGGAAAGAAGTCGAAAAGTGCCTGTACAAATATTTCTGCACTTACACACTTCAAGATTTACTAAGGTCAGAGTACATATTTCTCACGAAAGCCTGGTGTCCATATTGATCCCTAATGATTAATATTCCCTCATAACTGTTCTTCAAACAGTCAAAATCATGAACTGGGAATCATTTCAAATGCCCTCATTCTAATTCTGGCATAAGAATTTATTTTAATACTGTAAAAGCTTTCTTGTGATAAATGTGTCGATTGTGATATGGAATTGTCCCTTGGTCGAAGGACCACATATCTATGGAGATTTTTCTTGAACAATAGTCTCTCCTAAATAACAGCTACAGTTCTTTTTGATATCTTAAAAACCTGGTCCATAGGTGATTGACTTGGGATATTCATCAATGCTCCACTAAAGGCAGGAGAAAGGATTTGATTGATTGTTTTTGTGTTTGAACATAAGTACCACTCTGATCTCTGCGATACTTCCTCGATTACTTTCTTTTTGTGTCCTAAATATTACCTATAAGAAATTTAGTCGGGAAAAAATTGTAATCGGACAGCAGTGCTATGAAAGCTGTGGAATTTCCATGACGCTTACTTAGTGGAACTTAATTGGAGAATATATTTGGTATATACATTTTGTAATATTCAGGTTTATTCCAAAATTCATATAGTTTCAGTTTCAGGATAGACTCCCTTTTTACCATTTTATATGTCATAATTGGAGTAGATACCAAGACATCAAATTGTGTTGTAATAGCAATGAATCTTCAAAACATTGTTAGATCAGTCATCATATTTTACAAGATTACTTCCCAGTAATGAATGTTTGGAAGGATTTACCACTTCAGTACCTATTCCTGAAAGTCAGTGACCTTCAGATGTGCAATGAAGTTTAAGTTTTTTAATTTTAAATAATAGTATTCTACTGACATTGAAAATGTTTTCTTTTATGTCTAACTGTGGTTCCACCTCACAACTCAGACTCATTTAATGCTAACCAATAGTATTATAACATGCAGATGAACAAAGGCAGGCTGGTAATATTGGTGAAAATATATCTGAGGGAAATAATTCTACCACTACTGAAAGTTGAACCACTCATATAAGAATAGTGGTAGGAGGTATTTGATAAAGCCACAAAATTGGGGATAGACATTTTAAAAAGACTCCAAACAGAAAAAACAAAACTAAAGAAATAAAATGACTTTCAGGAGCTGTTGAGTTCAAAGCTAGCTGAATCTTCTCAGTTGACTCCCTTTCTTAAGGTCTGGGCTAAATATGAAGGTTCTACTTATTTTTTAACTAATTGGGATTAATTCATATATCAAATCATTCCATAGTTGAATCACGTCCAGCTGAATGTACATTTGCTACCACGATCAGTTTCCAAACATTTTCTCTATGGACCTTTTAGCGCCACCACCACCTCTGTGTTGCCCTCCCTTCAAAATCCTTATTCTACTTGCTGACTCCACAGGTTCATCAGTCCTGGTTTTTATACGCCCCCAAAATGAAAAAGCATATACCACAACTTCAAGAGGGTGACCCCCAGTAATATAGCACTTCTGTGATATCCCCTAATACGTCCAATCAAAAACCAAACCAAACAGCTCCAAAAAACCAGATCAGGTCCAGCATGCATCCTAGGGGGAATCTGCTGACAAGTTCTAACTGATCAATTCAGGCTTTTGCCTTTGATCTTTTATACTCAACTCATCAATGCATTCCTGTTAGTGACCTCTTTGCTCCTATCCCCCAATTGTGGATAGAGGGAATTCATTCTAGCTTAATGTCCTGTGTAGTTCCACCAATAAATCTTGGGTTCCCACTGTCATCCATAGCCTTCTGCAAATCGATACTCACACTTTAGGGTCTGATACTAATCCCTCCATTCAATTTCGGATTATATGCTTCCCAATCCTTCGGTAACTGATGATGGTGGGTTCTTCCATGTGAACTAGGTTGATATCTCACTTAGATGGCAACTTGTTTGGAGACAAGCCCTTGGAACCCCAGATGCTGTCTTATCTTGTAGCCAGGCAACATCTAATCTCTTCACCTCATTTTGCTGTAGCACCAGCTTCCTCTGCGCTCCCTTCCTGGGGGAGAGTATGGAGCAGGGCCATGATGTAAATATTAATGTTCTTAAGTTGGAGCTGGGGTTTAGTATGAGTCCAAAAAACATTCCTGGATCTATGTGTATTTGTTTGTCTTTCAATTTAATCTTCCTCGGGAATTAATCCAAATGCTTGGGTCTAGAGTCATTAAATAAAACTCTGGTTGAAGTTCCTGTACATTTCTCTGAGTAGATTTATATTCCTTTTCATCTATTCACATGTTGTATGGTTATTTTTTTTAATTTAGTATCCACTGTATTCCAGGTTCTGAGATATAACAGTCTCGATAAGTTTATAGTCTAAGTGCACAGGTTCTCAGAAAGCAATTAGTAAATGAATGAATGCGCAGAATACCAGTTAGAAAATGTGTATATTTAACACTTTAGAGCCACACATTTTATTTGACCATGTCTATCAAATAACCTGTTGGTCATATAGCCACCATTCATGTATAAATGGTGACTACCTGAACTTAAAAGCTCTTAACTGAGCATACTAAGAGGCTCACCCAGTGTATTTCCCACAGAACAACATGCTTCGGCTATGCATACTGCTTTGTCTGGGGTTTGCTGGAGGAATTTATGTGGGCGCATCACTGAGTTTTACAAAGTACGTGTCCTCTCTGTACAAAAGGTCTTTCTTGGCTGGTCTATTAGCTTTTTGAGGAAATATTGTGAAGGAAAAGGCCTGGTCCCTTCCTTTGTCACCAAGAAACAGTGAGAATGGGTAGCCGATTGAGATGCAACTTTCCAAATAATATTTCGCCTTCTTAATTCTCTTGACCTTTCTGGTTCTATTTTACAGATTTCCTCTTCAGCTTTTCTTCTATTTAAATATATCTTTCTCATCATTCTCCACTCCTATCTCCTTCCTGCTGGTTAACTGTGGAATAGGAAATTCCAGTTTGAGAATGGAGCTCAAAATTATAGGGCATATACTGTCTATTTTCATTTCACTTTTTGACATACAGTCAAGAAATTAAGAATAGAGATGAATTTGAATATGAACTCATAAACTACACATCTAAGAGAACTAAAACTTATACAATCATCTGACTGAGAAAGATACCACCCAGGATTACAAGCCCCGGTCAGTACTGAAAATACAATGTGCACACGTTGCTGCTGTTAAGGGGTCAAGTCTGTCTGACTACAGTTACCCGAG